CTGCACATCATTTCCTCCTGCACACCTCTGAACACAGACTAAATTTCTAGAAATTAGGAAGAAATGTATAACCTATCAGATGACTAGAAATCACCACAGAGGCATGAGAAATGAGAAACCAGGACCAGCAGTTGACATAATGGCTATTCACTGGACTCCCATGCAGTCGGGTGGAACTCATGGAAAGATCTGATAAAGAATTTAGAATATTCTTAGTGACAAAGCTAACAGAGATGCAAAAGAAGAGAAACAATGAGAAGTAGAAGAGGCAGGAGAAAAGAGCCAACAAACTCCAGGAGGTAAGGAAATTCTTGCATGATCTGAAGAGGAAATACATACCATAAAAAAGAATCAACTGGAACTGTTAGAAATGAAGACTATAATACAGAAAGTCAAAACCTCCCTTTAAAGTATTAAAAGCAGACTAGATCATACAGAAAATCAAATCTCAGATATAGGAAAAAAAAATGTTTAGAGATGCACAGATGGCCATCCTCAAGTATTTGGTTGAAAATTAGTCTGTATATTCATGTAGGAAACCACCAGAGGATGGGTAAAGAACTACTCAAAACAATTAGGTGTAATAATTTCCAAGGCGCATACAGAGACCAGAGTACTAACTAGAGTAAAAAACTTCATAACTCCTAAAACATTAGAGAATATACAATGGTTGTCTCACAGTGAGATACTTGCCTTAAAATTAACACAATAATCTCATCTAAAAATGTTTACAATCAAGATCCCCCAAAAATATTTTTCCAAGTAACTTGACTATATAGCAGAAAAAAAAAAGCAAAAATACATCAAGAAATATTTTTAGCAGCCAAAATCCAATGTCCAGTCAAAATTAAAGTCACATTAACAATATCAAAGTAAATTTCAGAGCAAAGAATACCGCCATAGATAAAGACAGTTGGAACCAGCAGACGATGTAATGGTCTGTTGCTGAATTCTCATGTAGCCGACCACGGTTCAAGTCCCAGACCCAGTGGCTTAAAATTCACTCCAGGTGCATGTGGGTTTGTGCCCAATATCCCAAGAGGAGAATGGAGGAAAATGAATTATGGCATGGCCATCACCCATGGAGGGTGATTTCTGTCTCTCTGAGATACCAGCCCCCTGTAGAAAAAGTTTCTCTCTCAAAAAAAAAAAAAAGATAAAGGGTCATAATGATAGAGGTCAACTTGGGGCCAGCAGGTGGTGTAGTGGTTAAAGGTCCTGGTTTCCCACATGGCTGACTGCAGTTCAAGTCCAAACCTGGCAGCTTGTTTTCTTGCTTTCCCTTTATATCTCTGGTCAAATTAAAAAGTACTAATAACAAATGGAGTTAAATAAGTAACTCTTTTTTTTGGAGAGGTTTTTGCTATAGGGCGCATGCATTCACCAGAAAGAGAGAGACAGAGACACAGAAACTGAGAAATCACCCCCTGCAATCCCTTCTCCACTCTCCTCTTGGGATCGTGGGCACGCATGCACATGCGCCTGGCTTGAGTTTACACCACTGGGTCTGGGACTTGAACCTTGGTGACTACACGGGAGTCCAGCAACATAGCCATTACGGCCAACTGCTGGTCCCAAATAAGTAATTATTATTTTTTTTTAAAGGAAAATCCAACAATACGTTAAAAAAAAAAAAGAAAAAAAAGATCAAGGCCAAATGGGGATTATTGCAGAATGTTAAGGTTGGTTTAATATTTGAAAACCAATGTTATTTGCCATTAAAGGAACTAAAAGGTGGCTTTGTTACAGTGGCACACACTAATGTGCTGTGTGCTGCAGGCTGAGACCATATGGGAGGCCCAGGTTTGAGTCCCAGTCCAATCTAAATGTCTGGCATGGTGATGTGCATCTGAGTTCCCAACAACCCAAGATTTTGAGGTGGGAAGAGTACAAGCTTAAGCTAGCCAGGTCAACAAAGCAAGATCCTGTCTCAAGAGAAAAAAAGAGTGAGTATGGTAGTACATGTCTGTAGCCTGAACTGCGAGTCTAAGGCATGTTGTGACATAGGGAGACCACGACTAAAACTAAAAGGCAAAAACAAGATTGTGTGACTGCTAGTGTCAAAACAAACATGGGCCAGCAGGTGGTGTGGTGGTTAAGAGCGCTGAACTCCCACATGCACTGCCAACTGCAGTTCAAGTCCCGGGCTTGGTAGTTTGTTTTCTCACTTCCCTCTCTCTCTCTCTTTCTCAGTCTCTCTCTGGTGAGCACATGCCCTATAGTAAATTTAAAATAGTAATAGTAGGACCAGCAGATGGTGTCATGGTTACATTGGTTGATTTCTACATAGTCAACCAGAGTTTGAGTCCTGGACCCAGTGGCTTAAAATTCACACTGGCACATGTGCGTGCATGCTCAAAATCCCGAGAGGAGAATGGAGAAGAGAATGCAGAGTGGCCATCCCCCCCAGGGGATGACTTCTCGATTTCTCTGTCTCTCCAGGTTATCACACTAGTAATGTATAATATGTTAAAAAAAAAAAACCACACAAATCTTTTATTCCTGTATTTTCATTGTTGTGTAGTTTCCTTTCCCCTTTTACCAGGATTCATCAGTGTTACAGAAAGAGTATGCCAGTAATTATAGCACATCACTTTCAGGTTATGGTTAGAACAGATATCCAGGCTGAGACCAGCAGTTAGCATAATGGCTATGTTGCTGAATTCCCATGTAGTCGACCACGATTCAAGTCCCGGACCCAGTGGCTTAAACTCACGCTGGGCACGTGTGTGTGCATGCCCATGATCCCAAGAAGAGAATGGAGGAGAAGGGATTGCGGCCTGGCCATCCCCCCTGGGGGGTGATTTCTCGCTTTCTCTCTCTTTCTGGTGAGCACAAGCGTCCTATAGCAAAAACCTCTCCAAAATAAAAAAGAATAGATATCCTGGCATGCTTCTTGTGAGCCCTATCCTGGATCGCTTTTTTGTAACTATTACTCTAAAATGGAATACTCTCAGCAAAAGTGCAACTGAAAAGGAATGCACCTAGTAACACACAGACCACCATAATGAATCAAAAGACCACCATAATGAATCAAAAGAAGCCAGACACTAAAGTATATATTGAATTATTCTACATATGACTTCTGGAAATACAAGCAAACCTATAGTGACAAATCAGTGATTGCCTGGGGATGGGTGATGAGGAGGGAGATATTCTCCTCCAAGTTTATCAATAAACTTGGCTTCACAGGTACAAATGTGTATTAAAACAATGTACACTACAGGTATGTTCTGTTTATTGTAGAATGCATCTATGACTGCTTTTGACAGTGATCTTAGCCAAAAGAGACACAGGTGTGGGAGTCCCTGAGATCTATAAACACTTATAACAAAGCCAGTGATGGAAATGTTTGTAGGTGCACCTGTAGAAGGTTAACATTTTTAACATACTTTGCTGCAGTCTCCCAACTCCCTATTAATCAGTGTCTTTCTAACACTTTGTAAACAAGATTCCCATCTTGTCCTTTTAAGGGATACCCAGGGATATCTGCTTACCACAAAATAAACTTCAGAGATCTTGGCAGGTTCCAGGAGGTCAAGTTCATCAAGAGAGCTAAGAATATAAAATAGTAAGGGACTAGCAGTTAGCATAATGGCTATGTCGCTGGATTCCCACGTAGTTGACCGCGGTTCGTGTCCCAGACCCGGTGGCTTAAACTCATGCCGGGCGCGTGTGCATGCGTGCCCAAGATCCCGAGAGGAGAATGGAGGAGAAGGGATTGTGGCATGGCCATCCCCCCTGGGGGGGGGTGATTTCTCGCTTTCTATCTCTCTGTCTCTCTCTCTCTGGCGAGCACACGCGCCCTATAGCAAAAACCTCTCCAAAAAAAAAAAAAAGAATATAAAATAGTAGAGGCTGGCAAGTGGTGTGGTGGTGAAGTGTGCTGGACCCATACACGGCTGACTGTGATTCAAGTCCCAGTCCTGGCAACCTGCTTTCTCTCTCTCCCCCTTTCTGGTCAAATTAAAATACATAAATAAATAAATAAATAAAGTTAAATAATTTTTTTAAATGAATATAAAATATTCTCTGGGAACAAGGGACCCAATTCATGTTGCTGCCACACTAGATTTTCACAACACCCAGCGCTTAGGATGACCTAAGTCACACAAATAATCTTGGTCTACCAACCACAAGGATAGGGCCACAAAGACTGGTATTCTTTCTTAGGAGAACTTAGGCAGCAATGCATGTTAGGCTGACACTGGAAGAACTGATGTTTGCCATCCTACCATTACCTGAGCTAGTTGGAGCTCTCTCAAAAGCTTCACCCCTACATGCTGGCAAAGCCTAATTCTATTCTCAGTCCAACCCACAAAGTTAATAGAACAGACTGCCCCCAATTAAGGGTAGTCTAAAAATTAAGGCATTTGTTGGAAGACCAGAACAATATGAGGCAGGCAATTTCAGGTTACTCATCTTGGATGCTCAACAAATCCATCATGGGTGACACATGAGACTGACAATGTCCATAAAAGAAACCTCTGCAAGTAGCCAGCAAAACAAAGCTCACATCCTTCTGGTCAAAACTGGGTCTTATTCATATTCAACTAGTCTGGAAGTAGGATGAAGTGAGGGGCCTTAACAGGCTCAGGTGACCAATGATTCGCTCCCTAAGGAAGGGAAAAACTCAGAGCTTTGCCTTTCAAAGTATGTGGGGCATCTAATGCATAAAACATGACCTTGTCAGTGTGAAGCTAAATGACTTCCATCAGGGGCAAGGATCCAGACAGGTTAGAAAATGCAATGTAGTTCCAGAAAACTCCCCACAATGCTGGCACAGAATTCCCCCAAGAAAGGGACCAGCAGTTAGCATAATGGCTATGTCGCTGGACTCCCACATAGTTGACCACGGTTCGAGTCCCGAACCTGGTGGCTTAAACTTACGCCAGGCACATGTGCATGCATGCCCAAGATCCCGAGAGGAGAAGGGATTGCGGTGTGGTAATTCCCCCGTGGGGGGTGATTTCTCGCTTTCTATCTCTCTGTCTCTGGCTGGCTGGCGAGCGCATGCACCCTATAGCAAAAACCTCTCAAAAAAAAGAAAAAAAAAGAATTCCCCCAAGGTGTTTGAATGTTCAGCTCCTGGTTGATGGCTACATGCAAAGGTTACTCTTAGAGCTTCTCTCTGATGTCAGTCATGTTAAACAAAAAGATGTTCTCTATTATCCTAAGGCCTTTCTCCACTGTGAACTTTCCAATGGCGGATAAGAGACGCTCTTTGCCTGAAGGATTTCTCACATTCACTGCATTTATATGGCCTTTCTCCAGTGTGAATTCTATGATGCTGAACAAGTACATGTTTGTGGCTAAAGGCTTTCCCACAATCACTGCACACATAAGGCTTTTCACCATTATGAACCCTTTGGTGTGCAATAAGGTCAGAGCTTTGACTGAAGAACTTCCCACATGCAATACATTCATAAGGCCTTGCTCCAGTGTGAACACTCCAGTGTTTAATAAGTCTGTACTTATGACCAAAGTATTTCCCACATTCACTGCACTCATAAGGCCTTTCTCCAGTATGAATACTCTCATGCTGAACAAGGGTGGATTTGTGGCTGTAGGCTTTCCCACATTGGCTGCACTTGTAAGGCCTTGCTCCAGTGTGTACTCTCTGGTGTACGATAAGGTTAGAGCTATGATTAAAAACTTTCCCACATATGCCACATTCATAAGGCATCTCTCCAGTGTGGATTCTCTGGTGCTGAGCAAGTATGGGTTTGCGGCTGAAGGTTTTCCCACATTCTCCGCATTCATAAGGCCTTTCTCCAGTGTGAACTCTCTGATGCTGAACAAGTGAATCTTTGCGACTGAAGGCTTTACCACATTCACTGCATTTATAATGCCTTTGTCCTCTGTGAGAGTTTTCCTCACACTTGGTATTCCCATGTGGTTTCCACTCACTATGAGGGGCATGGTGTTGATAAATGCTTGAACTAGGTGGGAAGTCTTTGTAACTCTCCTCTGTTATAAAAGGCCTCTCTGATAGTTGGCGAGGGAAGCTGTTAACAAGAAAGGCCGTGCCTTCATCCCTTCTAAACAGTTTTTCTCCACTGTAATGCTTCTGATGCTGGTGAAGCTTCACACTGAACCAGAATTGTTTCTCAAACGCCACACACATATACGATCTCTGCCCAGGGTATATTTCCTGGTGTTCAGCTAAATGCAAAATGTCTTTCAAGACGAGGCCACATATATCACAGGGGTGGGTCTTCTGCATAGAAAGGTCTTCCTTGGGAGTCCTAATCTGTGACACTCCTTCTATAAGAATGCTCTCCTCAAAAGGTCTCTCTTCATCCTCCATCTCATGCCAACAACCTGAAAGCAGAAAAATGTTGGTGAAGTAAAAATGGACAGGTTTGAGGGGGGCATCCTCGTAATATATGTATGTCTAACATGACTAAGATCAGTCATAGAACTGTTGTCAGGGCAAGGGGCCCAAGTTCAAGAATAGTAAGAGTCTGCTGTGTGGTAGTTTGCATCTATCACTAAATGGAGAGAACATAAATGTGGGATACAAAACAGGAAAAAGAGGCAGGGGCTCCAAAAACCATATGCATGTGGTTTACTTAGCCAAGTGGTTTATTTAGCTGAGATCAGGTGAGAGTTGCATAGAAGGCTAAGTCCATGCCCCTAAAAGTTCAACTGTTACTGAATATCTCATTGCTATGGTTTAAGTGTGCCTCTCAGAATTCATGTGTAGGAAAGTTGATCTCCACTGAGATAATACAGGGAGATGAAACATTTAGGTGGTGGGGTATAGTGACAGATGGTTGGGTCACACAGGCTCTAACCTCATGGGTTTACTGGTGCCATTCTCTTTCTAGGTATGGATTGATCTCTCACTGGGTTCCCCTTTGGTTTACTTTGAACCATCATGAGGCCCTTACCAGAAGCAAACAGATGTAGATCCCCAATCTTGATCTTACCAGCCTATAAAGCTAAATAAATGTTTTTCTCTTGAGGGCCAGCAGATGGCACAGCAATTAAGGGCACTGGACTCCCACATGGTCAACCATGGTTCAAGTCCTGGGTTTGGCAGCTAGCTTTCTCACTTTCTTTCTCATACTCTGTCCCTCTCTGGTCAAAATTAAATAAATAAACAAAGCTAAATAAAATGATTCCTTAAATTAATTAAATAAATGTTTTTCTCTTTATGAATTACTTAGTCTCAGGCATTCTGTCAAAGCAACACAAAATGGACTAAGACACTGGTATTGAAGGGCTACTTCGAATATGTGCACATTTCATGACACAGTAAGTAGAGGCCAATGTAGCAGACCTCTGCAGAGGGAACACTGGAGAGGAACAGGTGAAATGTGGAGACAGATGCATTTAACAAGCAGAGATGTGAAACAGTCAGAGTTCAAAGGGCACAGTATAAAAGATAGTATATAAATGGGCAAATAAAGGGGCTGGGCCTGTATCCTAGTGGTTAAAGGGAGCTGGATCTCATATACTTAACTGCAGTTCAAATCCTAGTCTTGGCAGCTTGAAAAACACACCAGGCCTTCCTCTCCCTCTCTCTTTGATGAGTACATGCATCCTCTCAAAAAAATAAAATTTAAAAATAAATGCTTTGGAGACCAGCAGATGGCATAATGGTTGCATCACTGGATTCTCACGTAGTCAACACAGTTGGAGTCCCAGACCCTATGGTTTAAAACTCATGCCAGGCGCGTGTGTATGCATGTCCAAGATCCCAAGAGAATGGAGAAGGGATTGCAGCACAGCCATCCCTACAGAGAGTGATTTCTTGCTTTGTCTCTCTTTCCAGTGAGTGCGTGCACCTATAACAAAAATCTCTTAAAAAAAAAAAAGTGTTTTGCTCCATGTCTCTGGCTACTTTTTAAAAAAATGGGCAGGGGCCAGCAGGTGGTGTGATGGTTAAGATGCTGGACTCCCACATGGCTGACCATGGTAATAGTCCTGAAACCAGTGGTTTGCTTTCCCACTTTCCCTCTGTCTGTCTGTCTTTCTCTCTGGACAAAGTTTAAAAATAGAAGAAATAAAATAGCATAGAATAATCCTTTTTTTTAAATAGAGATTTTTACTATAGGGCATGTGCGCTCGTCAGAGAGACAGAGAAAGACAAAGAGACAGAAAGTGAAATATCACCCCCTGGGGTGAAGGGCATGCTATAATCCCTTCTCCACTCTCTTCTTGGGATTTTGGGCATGCACACAAACACACCCAACATGAGTTTTAAGATGCTGGGTCCAGAACTCGAACCACAGTTGACTACATGGGAGTTCAGCAATGTAACCATTACACCCTTTGCTGGTCCTAATAAAGTAATTCTTAAAAAAAAAATGGGAGGGGGGTGTGGCCAAATAGGGGCCAGCAGGCATCATAGTGGTTAAGGCGCTGGACTTCCATATGGCCAACCGTGGTTTGGATTCCAGGTCTGGTAGCTTGCTTTCTTACTTTCTCTCTCTGTCTCTTATAAGTGCACAGGCTCTATACCAAATTAAAATATAAAAATAAATATATGTACATACACTTTTTAAATGGACAAAGAAACAGAAATAAAGTGTTGCCAGAGGCCATGGCACTAAAACAACTTTGGACACAGATAGGTTATAAAAGACTGAACCCAGTCCTGACACTACACCTTTTCTCAGCTCCACACCTAGGGCCACACCAACCTTGACTCTCTATGACAATGACTAGAGTCATGCCCACCAAGTCAGATACCCAGAGCTCACTGCCCAGCTCCAGTGAGGCAACTACATGGGACATGGAGGATGCATTCCCTAAGGGAAAGACAGAAGAGGTGATCTGATCCACTCCATAGAAGAAAACTAAATATTACAAAAATAATCTGGGACCAGCAGTTGGTGTAAGGGCTATGGTCGCTGCACTCCCATGTAGTTGACCATGATTCGAGTCCTGGACTCGGTACCTTAAACTCAAGCTGGGCGTGTGTGCATACGTGCCCAAGATCCTGAGAGGAGAATGGAGGAGATGGAATTGCGGCATAGCCATCCCCCCTTGGGGGTGATTTCTCTCTCTCTGTTTCTCCGTCAAGTGCATGCACCCTATAGCAAAAACCTCTCAAAAAAGTAAGGTCTTGCCAGAAAAGCCTAGAAGTCCCAGCACACAGTGACCACAGGAAATAGAGAGAGAAAAGAGGAAGTATCTGGGGAACAGAGGTGCCATCAATATGGACAAAGGCATCTAGTCATGGAGATGACAAGATGGATATGATCCACTAGACCCTATTCAGAATGCTTGACTCCTAGATCTAACCCTGCAAGGCTTTGGGACTACTCAGGAATTGGAGGCAGCAATGCATATAACCTAGGCCCAACAACCACAGAAGAGGTTAGTCTGGGACAGTGGGGTGTGTTTGACAGCCTTACCCAGTGAGGCCATAAGTGCAAAATTCTCCAGCATTACATTGTGGTACAGGCACCTCTGAGTCTCATCAAGGAGCTCCCACTCATCCTGGGAAAAGACCACGAACACATCCTCAAAGTTCACCTGCACCTGCCATAATGCGAAGAGATAAGGCCATGAGCAGCATCTCTCCCAAGGACTCCCACACATCTCCTTCCTGTACAGCTAACTCCTCAAATTGAAGGAAATACCAGGACCAGGTGCCACTGGTGTATGTGCTCTTCTCATAGTCCCATTTATCACTGTGTTCATCCAGGCAGAAAGGTATGAACTAAACTCTGGGCCTGGCATACAGTGCCCACCCTTCTATCAGGTAATTCCCCAACAGTAAGATATGCTTACCAGACAACCAAAGTTGGGCTTGCCTTCTGCCATTAAGCCCTGTACTAGAACCCAGGGAATATCAATTCACACTCCTTTCCACATGCAGATCATACCTATCTCACAACTCTGGCCCTCTACCCAACTGATGATTTCTACCATCATCTTCCTCGCTTATTAGTTGCACTACCACTGTGGTGTGAAGACTTTCCCTTCTAAATCCCAGTCCACACATCATCTTTATCTTTTAGGTATATCCATCATATATTCTACAGAACTCCAGGGCTGTGTATCCAGCAGCCTATTTGACATCTCTACTTGGCATTTTGTGGAATAGCTCAGATGGCCACCAAAAACTCCTCTTGATATCCGCACTAAGTTACTTCTGGGACCAGCAGTTGGCATAATGGCTGTCGCTGGACTCCCATGTAGTTGGCTGCGGTTTGAGTCCTGGGCCCAGTGGCTTAAACTCATGCTGGGCACGTATGCGTGTATGCCCAAGATCCTGCGAGGAGAATGGAGGAGGACGAACTGCAGTATGGCCATCCCCCCTGGGGGTGGTGATTTCTCGCTTTCTGCCTCTCTGTTTCTTTCTCACAAGCGCACATACCCTATAGCAAAAGTTTCTCAAAAAAAAAAGTTCCTTCTACCACTGACTTGCTCACCTCAACTGAGGGAGCTTCTACTCTCCCAGCTAATATGGCCAAAATCCTTGGATTTATCTTTTTTTCTCGAGCAGCAGAAAATCTGATCCATCCAGTCCTTTCTTCGAATTTTGCAGTAGCTTCCTGCCTCATCTCCTTGCCTCCACCTTAACTCCCCCAGCCCCTAGCATACACAATCTGTTCTACACTTGGTTTATAGAGAGGCTGTTAAGAACTGATGAGATCACTTCTCCTTTGCTCCACATCACCTATGGCTATACCACCTTCAGAATACAGATCCAATTCCTCAACGAGATTGCTCTCAGGACTGATTCCTGCCCCTCTGCTCTTGGTGTCTGCAGTAGACACCTGTAGTTTCCTGAAAACTCCCACCTTAGTCTCACCTGCAAGTATTTTCACATACTAATTTCTGTGTCTGGAACAACCTTCCAACCTTATTCTCATGACTGCCAAAAATAAGGATCCTTCATACAACTCCTGGGCCCAGGGTTTCTCCAGGATGCTCAGACCCAAGAGATTCAAGAGTAGCAGGAAAGTGTTCTATAAATCATCATAATCCTGTACATGGTGTGAGTGGGATCAGTGAGAGCATGGACATTCTTCCCTCACCTGTATAGGATCCATAATTATTTCCGAGTTCATAGGAACCTGTGAGAAGAAGGAGACTGTAAGTGATAAGCAACCGTGAAGGAGCCTCAAGGTCTCAAACCTATCCCCTCATCCTGTCTATCCTGTGTGTGTCTGCCTTAAAGTCCACCTCTCAACAACTATGGTATTACACCTCAGACTATTTCTCAGTCTTAGTGTCCTCACCAACTCCCTGCCAGTCACACCCAAATCTGTTCTCCTCCCCTGAGCAGTCGATTAGATATTTTTAAATCCTCAATCATGTTTCTCCTTCATTCACAATTTTCCATGGCTCCCATCATCCTCAGCTGCTCAGGATGACAATCCAGGAGTGATGACTCCTCACCTGTGATCCTTTCAGAGCGCAAAGAACACAAGTTTCTCAAATACTCCAGCTGTGTCGGCTCTCCAAACCTTTGCTCATGCTGGTCCTCTGGCGATAACGTCCTGCCACAAGTCACCACACTGGCTGTCAGAATCGGGGCCCAACTACAGGCGCTCCCATCGTCCCGGGAAAGGGGGCCTAGACAGCACTAACCTCACGAACCCCCTTCATTAGAGAGTTCAGGATTCAAAGACGGCGCTGTGGGCGAGGATCTGGGGACGCAGCACTCACCTGCGCCGGGTCCGCCAGCGCGATCGCCAATGGGCCGGTGGGCTAGGGAAGAGGGCGGCAAGCTCAGGGACCCGGGACTGTCTTCCCGAGCCCGACTCGGGCGCTGGCACCACCGAGCCTCGGGCCGTCGCGCTCACCTCCTCCCCCTCTCGTCACCTCTTCGGAGACCAATCCGACCGATTACCTGAAGCAAACAAAATGTCCGCCGAGGATGGGAAAGAAAGCCCTCCTGACGTCTACCGCAGGAGCGGAAACGCCCCCTTCCTGGGCTCTGATTGGCCCGGCGCCGCGGAGTCTCCTGGGTAATGTAGTTTCCACAGGGCGCCGACCGCGGGTCGGGCGTTCTGCGTGAGCTCAGGGCACAGACCGCCTTGAGACCAGCCAGCGGCGGGGAAAGGCAGCGGATAGCGTAGTAGTTAAGGATGCTGGACTCCCACATGGGTAACTGAGGTTCGGGGCCCCGGACCTGGCGGCTTGATTTGTCACTCTCCCTCTCTTTACCTCTGTCCCTCTCTGGTCTAAATAAATAAATAAATAATAAAGTTAAGTAAAATAATTTTAAAAAAGAAAGAAAAGGGAAGAAAATTATGCCTGGGAATATGTGCATAGGTGCCTAAGATCCCTGGAGAATGGAGGAGAAGGGATTGCAGCGAGTGCCATTCCCCCTTGGGGTTGATTTCTCACTTTCCCTCTCATGTCACTATCTCTGTCTCTGTTTCTAACTAGCACACATGACCTAAAGCAAAAACCTCTTCAAATAAAATAATTATTGGGGAGACCAGCAGTTGACGTAATGGCAGTGTCACTGGACTCCCTTGTAGTCGACTGCGATTGAACAAGTCCCAGACCCGGTGGCTTAAATTCATGCCAGGCGTGTGTGCGTGCATGCCCATCCTGAGAGAAGAGTGGAGGAGAAGGGAGTGTGGTGTGGCCATCCCCCCTGAGGGGGGTGATTTCTCACTGTCTGTCTCTCTGTCTCTCTCTGTCTTTCTGACGAGCGCACAGGGCCCTATAGCAAAAACCTTTCCAAAATTAATGAATTAAAAATGTAAAAAAAGAATTATTGGGGACCAAGCAGATGGCGGTGGTTAAGGCACTGGACACTCCTACATGGTTGACCATTGTTCAAGTTCCAGACCTGGTGACTTCCTTTCTCACTTTCCCTTTCTCTGTTCTCTCTCTCCTGTGTCTCTCTCTGGTTAGATTAAAATAAATAAATGAAAAAAAATGAATGAATGAATGAATGAATAATTATTTTAAATTTTTAAATTTATTATTATTATTTAATTTTCCAGAGAGAGAAAGTGAGAAAGCAAGCCTTCAGTCCAAGATTTGAACACAGGGTTGGCCTTGTGGGAGTCTAGCACCTTAACCACCATACCACCTGCTGGCTGGTTTAGAGATTTAAAATTTCTTTATGCAAAAAATACCATTCAAAAAATCAAATGCACACACTGTATGCTAATGAGACTCAGACTTCTGTATTTGGAAGCTAATAAATAGTATATTGTTTCCCAATACATGTAGCCTGATGCTCTAGAGTTATTTTTGTGAACCTCAGCATTTTGGGTCAGGCACAAAAGAAAAAAAAAGACCCTAGACATGAACATAGTGAGGAACGTGAAATAGGGATGTTGGATGACTCTGAAGGACCTGGATAATGCTTGCTCCTATGGTCACCTCAGAAAATATTTTTCCTGCTTGTATAGTAATGATTGTGTCAACCCAATGAGTAATACTTTCTTGAGATAATATTTCATTCTGTAAGTATTCGATAACTTTTAGGTATCTTACAAGTATCTGAAATGATGGGTGACTTACTAAATGTCATTTGGTAATGAAAAAAGCATTCCTCATGCATGTATGTCATGAATCCTTTCAGATATATAGTTAATTTCTTATGTATAGAATCATATTGCCTAAGTTAAATGATTAAATAGTATTCTTTCCTCATTGATAATGTTAATTGAAATTCCACATATCTAAAAATCTTTTTAGATTGTTGAGGCTACCATTTATCCATCCTATGACAAAATTAAACTGACTGCATAGCCTTTTTCTTTAAGACTGTCACAGATACAGTACTATTTTCATAAGAAGTATACAAAATTGGGGGCCAGTAGATGGCATGGTGGTTAAGGCACCAGACTCCCACAGGACCTATTGAAGTCTGAGTCCCAGACCTGGCGGCTTGAAACTCAGGCCAGGTGTATGTGCATGCATGCCCAAATTCCACGAGGAGAATGGAGAAGGGGCTATGGTGTGGCCATGTTCCCTAGGTAGTGATTTCTTACTTTCCCTCTTTTTGTCTTTCTCTGTGTCTCCTGAGAGGATGCGCCCTATGGCAAAAACCTAAAAAAAAAAAAAAAAAGAAAGAAAAGAAAAGAAAAGCCACAGCTCTGAAACAACCACTCAGGATAAAACATAGTTTCTTAGACATCCCCATTCCTGAGCTGCTCTCACATGCCTGGCACTCTGTTGTGCCTCAGTCAGGAAGTTCCCAAAAGACCACCAGGGAGCTGTTCTGATGTAAGCACATGAGGGTTGCTTTTATTCAGGCTCAAGTCAGGACTCCCAATCTCACCAGCACAGTAGGTCAGAGTTGAGAGCCCTGGTGTTAGTTGGGCTGGGTTTTTATTTGGCTGTTGGGGGGAGGCCAAGGGGTACTGAGGGATGCACTTGGCAATTACGCATTGGCTGTAGATTACAGGGAGTGTAGCTGTCTCTGGTATCTCCTTTGTTTCAGCAGAAAAGTTACTTTAGGTTTCTGGTATCTCCTTAGTTTCTCTCATTGGTCAGTCCCAGTGGGGTGATGATCCCACAACTTTTTCCTACTGGCTCACCTCCTTGAAATGGTGCCAATTTTCAGCAAGGTGGGTTTAGTTTAACAAAATGGAGTTGCCCTGAAAGAAATGGAGTCACTCTGGCCCTTCATTCCACCTAGCGCTAACTTTTTTTTCCCCTTTCATAGTGTGCACTCCCTGGAGAGGGGAGAGGGAGGGAAAGTGAGAAATCAACCACCAGGGAGGATGGCCATGCTGCAATCCCTTCTCCACTTTCCTCTCAGGATTTTGGCATACACACACACACACACACACACACACACACACACGCATGCACATTTCAAGCTACAGGGTCTGGTACTCAACCACGGTTGACCATGTGGGAATCCAGCCACGTTAAACATGATGCTACCTGGTGGTCCCACGTTAACACTTTTTTTTTCTTTTTCTTTTTTCTCCCCCCCATCATTTATTTATTTATTTTTACATTTTCCCACATATACTTTACATATCAAAACATTTTTGCTCATACTCCAAAGTTCTTGACAGTTAATAAACAACTTACAAATTTTCAAAAAACTGCATTTGTTTAAAAATATTTTTTAATTTCAAGAAAAGCAGTTTTAACTTTAATAAATCAAAATCAAAGAAATGCTAAGAGAACTTTGCTTAAAACTTAAAGGTAGGAAATAGATTAGGTACATGAACCTATTGGCAACTCAAGACAAGACAAAAATCCTTAAATCCAGAAAACAAAGCATAGAAGAAAATCAGTAATGTTTTAGTCAAAAGTCATAAGATTCTATTTCACTAGTTTAATCGTATATACTTTATCTTCTGTTGTGATCCAATCTTACTGATTTAATTCTGGGATATAGTATTCAACTCCAGACTTTTCCCTACCATTAACTTGGCCATTTTTGTAGTTGTTTTTGAACTCATTTCTGTGTGTCTGACTTTTGTTTTCCTGAGATAGCACTCTTTTCCAAACTTCTTAGAGAATTGGTCTGGTGTTGATAAATTCTTTCAGATTTTGTTTACATGAGAATGTCCTTGTCTTTTCTTCCCATATGAAGGATAATTTTGCTGGGTACAATATTCTTGGCTGATAGTGCTTTTCCCTTAGCATTTTGGATATATTTTCCATTCTTTCCTTGCTTGCATTGTTTCCAATGAAATGTCTGCTGTTAGCCTGATGGGTAAGTTGTTTCTCTCTCGCCAGTCTTATTATCTTACATTCGTCTGTGGTTTTGGTCAATCTGGCTATTGTGTGTCTTGGAGAAGATCTTCTTGGGCTGATTCTATTTGAGGTCCTTTGTATTTCTTGGGCCAGGATCTTTGAATGCCTCAATAGGTTTGAAAAGTTTTCTTCCAGAATTTCATGGAATCGATTATCAATGCCCTTATTAGTCTCTTCGCCTTCTGGGATACCAATTATCCAGATGTTTGGCATTTAATGGTATCTAGTATTTCTCATCTATTATTCTCATTTTTTCAGGTGATTTTCTCAGTCTTTGTGGTGGATTTTACTAGTCCAGCAATTCTGTGTTCTACATCTGAGATTAAATTTTCTGTATGATCTAGTCTGCTTTTGATAATTTAAAGGGAAGTTTTGACTTCTATATTATAGCCTTCATCTCTGACAGTTCCATCTGATTCTTTTTTATGGTTTTTATTTCCTCTTTCAGATCTTGCAAGAACATCCTCACCTCCTGAAACTCATCGACTCCTTTGTTTTGCCTCTTCTGTTAGTTCCATTTTACTGTCTGAGGATGAAGAGGAGTTATTCTTTTCCCTTGAAGAAGAGGTATATTCTTGCTTTCTCATATTTCTTGTGACTCTGTGGTGATTTCCAGTCATCTGATGGATTGTGTGTTTCTTCCTTAATCTTGAAGTTCAATCTGAGCATACAGAGGTGTTTACAGGAGGAGATGATCTGCAATCTCTCTTCCATTTCACTTTTCACTTTGTGCGTAATATTCGGTGGGAATTGAGGAATATTCTGACCATAATTGTATTCAGATGTTTGGACGCTGTTCACTTTAACCTGTCTAGACATTCAGTGCATGGAAGTTGAGCAGTCAAGGAATGAAATTAAAGGAAAAATGGAAAGAATTAGAGAAGACGAAAGAAGAAGAAAAAGGAAAAAAGAAGAAAGAAAAAGAGACGATTTAAAACATTTATATTTTGGGACCAGCAGTTAGCGTAATGGCTATGTTGCTGGACTCCCACATAGTCAACCATGGTTCGAGTCCCGGACCTGGTGGCTTAAACTCATGCTGGGCGGGGGTG